GTGAGAATTGCTTCAAATTTCAAAGCTTGGGCTTGTTCTCCACCCTCTGTGCTTTTCCAGAATTTTGTTCATACCAGTATCTAACGATGGCACTCAACCTAGTGTTTTCCAGTTATTTAAGAGTCTTTCCTATTTGAATATGAGCTTCTAAAAAGCACAGATCATTTCTCACTCTTAAATCGGTCACCAGAACCCAGCGAAATACCTGGTATATAGTATCTAATAAATGTATGTGGGGTAATTCTCTATAGGGCAATGTGGAAATGGAAGAACACACATTCAGAATGCTACTTCTGCTAACTGGCCTCCCTGTCTCCACAGTCCTGCCAACCCCCTCCACTCATCCACCACAGCAGTCGGAATGACCCCATGAGGCTCTTCTGCTTGTTGCATTTCCCATGCAGTTTTGTAAGATCTAGTCTTTTGATCACAACCTGCAGGTTCTTACAGATCTACTTGTAGCTTCCATCTCAATTTCATGCTGCTCTTTCTTTGTTCTCAGTTTTCTAGCCACAATGGGCCTCCTCTTTGCTATGGTTTGACCTTGCCCTCCAAAGGTTCGTGTTTTAGAAGCTTGATCCCGAGTGCCGTAAGACCTCAAAGAGACAAGGTGCATAGGAGAGGACCAACCGATCAGCTGAGAGTATGGGAGGGACAAACATTGGAAGTGGAAATTCTGTTTCTTCCCTTTTTTGCACATGCTCCCCTTCCTCTGTTTCTGTTGGCCATATTGTGACACAGCACCAGAAGCTGGTCAGATGCTGACCCCACGCTCTTACATGTTCCAGTCACCAGAGCCATAAGCAAAACAACCCTCTACTCTTTATAAACCACCCAGTTCTTGATTTTTCTATTTAGCGATATGATAGATTAATACATCTTGTTCTTTCCCAATTTAGATAAAGGACATTTTCACTTGCTCTTACTTCTATTTAGAATTCTATTCCTTAGGCTTCTTGCTTTGCCCATTCCTTCTCACCCATCACATTTCATTTCAGATATTCATTTCTTCAAAGGGCTCTCTCTTGACATCTTGGCTAAATGAGGCCTTCATCACCCAGTTACTCTCCATCGCACACCTACCTGCTTTTTTACTCTCTTGGTACAGATCAAACTCTGGAATTATCTTGTTTATTTGTCTCCTGGCTCCTTTCACTGAGATGAAAACTCCATTATGGCGAAGCCCTTGTCTGCATATTCACCATCTTAAATACAATTCTTTAAATAGTACCCGGCACAAAACCAGTGCTCAAACATAGGTTTGAAACAACAAATAATAATAATAATTATAAATAGATCGTTCAAGAGCAAATCTCTCCCACACTACCAGAATCATCCAGGAATTACAAATCGTAGAGTTTCAGGCTTTATGTATCTCAGAGACAGAGGGTGCAAAGTTGCCAAGGACTCATGGTGTACCAGTTCTCGCCTCCTCAAACACAATCAACAAGTTCCACAGTGGAAACAAAAAGTTAAATTATGATATTTTTTCAAACATTCTTTAAATGTATTACATCTCCTAAGAAAGCAAGGGTCTTTTTAAAAAAGGATAGAAGGTGACTAGACATGGAATACCTGAACAGAGAACTGAGCTACCCACAAAGTGAAAAAGACCTAGATTTAACAGAAGACCAGGGCACTGAGGTCTGCTGCAGCTTTCGTTTTCATGAAGCAAAAGGAAATCAGACAGGGAACAGCAGATGGCATAATGGTTATGTCTCTGGACTCTCACATGGTCAACTGTGGTTCAAGCCCCACACCTGGTGGCTTAAAAAACTCACACTGGGTGCACATACATGTGTACCCAAAATCCCAAGAAGGGAATGGAGGTGAAGGAATTGCAGTGTAGCCATCTCCCCTTGGGGAGGAGGGTGACGATTTCTCACTTTCTTTCTGTCTCTCTGGCGGGCACATACGCCCTATAGCAATAATCTCTCAAAGAAAAAAAAAAAAGAAAAAGAAAAGAAAATCAGACAGAGTGAGTGTTCTTTGAAATGAAATGTTTAAAATTAATATTCAGTTTATTATCTACAGTTTATACCCTAACAATAAAATGTATTTGCAAAGCACTTTACAATTTAGAAACACCTCTATTTACGCAGTTCAGTTCGTCTCATTTGCTAAGACTATTGAATGATAAGATGGCATGAGAGGAAAATCCACATAATCAAGTATGAAGGGTCTAGAGGCTGGGTAGCTCAGTGGTGAATCGTGATGCTTTGGGAGGCTAACCCACATGGGAAGGATCCGGGTGTGTGCCTAGGAACTTCCCTAAGTGTGCCAGGCATGTGCGTGCCCATGATGTGGGGCTGGCTGAAACTGGGATGGATTACGGCATCATGACCTTACTGGGAGTGTCGTCCCCCACTCCCTGCCACACCACATGAAAGAAAAAGAAATTGATTAAAAAGGAAAGAAAGAGTAAAACCAGGCCTGGACCCAGCTCTGTTTAAAAGGCTGTGCCCTTGGAAAAATCACTTTTCCTGTGTGGGCCTCTATTTCTGCTTTAGTAACGTGAGGATGTTAGACTAGATTGTCATTAAAATTCCATTCAGTCCATCTATTGCAGAAAGTCATATAATTTTTAACTTTTTTTCTCTATTCATGGTAGACTGGGCAGGTACGTGTGTGGATGTGGGGGGCAGCAGAGAGTGAGATGAATGCCCCCCCACACACAGAGTCTGGTCACTAGTCTATCCCCTTCCTCCAGCCCTCCAGCCCATTCGATCTGGGACACTGGTGTGTATGCTCAGCGTGTTTAGTGCTGACCAGTCCAGGGATTCGAATGGCTGCCACGTGGGATCCGGTATCTCTCGAGCAGCTCATTCGCATGGCACCAGGGACGTGGCCCTACAGTTATTTCTATTTAACTTGTGACAAATCAGACTTCTCTTGTCCCAGATCCAAAGCATAAAACACTTATTGTGGAACTTCAGGTATCGGTGAATCATCTCCATCTTTGCTCATGTTCCTAGAGTCAAGTTGAGTGGTCACTCACTTAAGTACCCAGGCAAGCAAAGAAGGCCTTGGTCTATCTCCGTGTGACCTTTCTCCATCTTCATTAGTGTGTCCTGTTTGATGCCAGGTCTACTGGTGTGGCTCCAGGGTCTGGCGGCCTCTCGTTTCACATGGCGCTCCGATCTCTTCCACCACACTGTGATCTCTTCCATACCACCACCAAGAACACCCTCCCTCTTTTACTTGTTCTATGCTGCGACTCAGAAAAGTTGCCTAGGAGCTCATCTATTAATTTTTTTTTCTCTTCTTGGCAAACGACTAGAGCCTTTT